TAAAGTGTGAATGTATTTAGCACATCTGTGCTAATTGGAGAGTCTGTCAATGCTAGACTGTAAACAACTCGAGTAATAGGAAAGTATTTCTTTCAAATCAAAACTGTTAAGAGACAAATCACGGCTCCTTTTTTCTCTTTTTTTTTTATTCTTTCCAAAGTGGCCATTTGGCCACCTGACTTCATAACGAGGTCGCCAGAAATAATATCTTAGTAGTGCTCTACTTTTCAGGCGGTAACCGGTACTATCTACCGCCAGTAGTACCTATTATCACCGTCTAAAACCTCTTGGAATTCCTGAAAATTTAACAGGAGAAATGATTGCTCCACCAGTTTGAAGATTTATTGCACATGTCGCATTTAAAGTAAGGGACAAAATGTTTTAGTCGAAAATTCTCAGAAAAAAAACGACAAAGTGTTGATAATGTTGAATGCTAAAGGTTATCTCATTTTAACTTTAAGCTAAAACACCAAGAAATTAATACGTTACAGCTTGCAACATGACTGCCGAACGCAGTTCGTTAAATTGGTGACTTTCGCTGCAAATTTGGCCGCCCATATGCGGCTACCGATTGTGTGAAAAAGGGAGGCGTAGGGCGGAACCCATCACAAGAGCCTACTTGCAGCCTAAACAGAGGGCGGTAAGAAGTCTTGTAAGTGGTGATAGACCGCCGGTAACCGCTTTAATTGAAACCCCTGAGAGCTTACTAGCAGTGGCGCGCAAAACGGTCGTAGGTTAGAACACTGGCTATGTTCAAGGCTATGAATTCGAAATGACCGAGAAACAGATCCACTTGAAAGGCAAAGTAGAGGATTGGAACAAAGGAACTCCAGATTTAACACATACGCCCTAAACCACTGGACCACCCTGCCGCCTGCTCCTAAGAACCTAAAAACAGACATCTGATTAAATGGCTGAGAAGAAAAGCCTAGACATTTTGAAAAAGTTCGCGGCATTGATGACAGAATCAACATGAATTACAGGATAAGCCGATGAGACTGACCAGAATGGGGCGTCTGCAAATACAACGCCATTAGTGCAACAACCGTCCGCCCTCTCATTTAAATTAATTTGCATCTAAACTTCTTTTGATAAATGACGTGCAAATCTAATATTTTGACAAAAAAATAAAAAACATACCAGACAAGCACACAAGACTAAAAAAAACAAATCAGAAAGGAAAACAGAGACATGCAACTTCATCCGAGGAAGTTGGACGGAATGGGATCAGAACGTTCGTGCCCGTAGACGTTCCTGTCTGCAGAAAATCGCTGAAGAGAAAAAAAAAGCACTGTCTGAAGGAAAAAAGAGAATGTCTATTGGCGTTAACTGTTAAATAAAGTTTGCTGTGGTGACCTTAACTTCAAACAACAAAGAAGCTCCTGACAAAAAGATATTTGGATTTATTGTTTCGTAGCATAGAAAATGAAGTTACGAAACTTAAAAAAAACCCCTTAATTAGTGACGAAAAAGGAAGGGGTTAGGAGTTAAATGGTCAGTTTATGCAAACTTACATGAATGGAATGGCTAGTACCAGCCATTGAAAGGAGAATCGACATGAGAAATTTGAGGAACAGGGCACTGACAGACAAATACCGTACAGAACAGAGAATAAATCAATATCGTTATTGAAAACCTGGCATTCCACATTCCTATTATCTCGTCACTCACGATACATTATTTGCCTTCCTGGATGCAGACGGAGATATAAGAATCACGCGACGAAGCTTAAATGCGGCTGTGTTGTGCTGAATACACTCGCCATAGCCTAAGGGTGTCTCAAGCGATGCGATATGATTTGAAATGATCTCTATTTACCGTCATTGACCTCTTACCGGATAAAAACTGCTCTAAGCTCATAGGCGCTATACTAATGTAAAATATCGGGATAAAAACGAATTTTTAAGGTTCGCTCATATACAGGCAAAACAATAGACATAGGACGAAGTATTTCAGAATCATTCTACAAATAGAATCAGGGCTACAAAGCTTACGCACACCATAGGATCTCCTGGAATCATCTTTAAATGATATATCATTGACTTCTAAATTATTTTTCTTTTCACAACAAAATTGATTTGTGTGATAAGGAGCCTGTGCTCCTGGTGAGATGGACAAAGAAGAGTTGGTGTATTAGGCGTCCGCAGGGGTGATTTTGCTACTGCAGTTGTTTCTTTTTTCCGATAAAACATCATTTGTGGTTGTCTTGAGTAGTTTAACAATAAAAAAACTTGGGAGAGAGCCTATAATAACGATTTAAAATTTTACTTTGAAAATGCCCCAACTTAGAAGTTGAATTTATTTTCCATGGTATCCGAAGATCTAAGAATACTCTCTCAGTCACTTGAAACTTGAAACTCCCGAACGAGTCTGAATAGTTTGTATTTGCGCAACTGTACAAAGGCATCACTTGCTTCATCCTTCACACCCTGGAGTGATTGAGACTTGTAACTTGTCTTCTAACAGAGAGCTGGGGTGCTATCTATATATATGACAACAAATTCTTTTCACTACACTATAAGGAAATGTAAAAGGATTGGGAGGGGAAAGTAACTAATCCGATCTTGGGATTTAAAGGATTACGTGTATTTACTAAGCGCATCATTCTTAGGATGATAGAGCTTAAATTGTATCAGAACCCCAAAATATTTTGTAATCATTTGCAAGAGAGAGGAAACGTTAGAGCGAATTTAATTTTTTCATAATTTTTCTTATCTACAATGTAAGGTCACGAAACACCAAGGTCGATAGGAATGCGTTTACGCAATAGTCCAACATATGGCTTCTCAATTGTACAACAATCCAAAACAAATCTTACGCATGATGAGATAGCACAATGTGTTAACAATTCTAGCAAACGGAAAGAGCACTTAAAGACAAAAACATCCGGATTTCATTGCCGGTGGAAGTTTACTTTGATATCACCGAAATTTGTCAACTGTTTACAGAATAGTAAAATGAACTCTACACAAGATGACCCTAATTTATAGAGGTGGAGGACATTTGGTGCCTCACAAGACGCAATTTTGCCTAGTGATCAGGGAAAAAGTGAAGTGAAGCAACTTGAGTTTCTGTCCATTGCACTCTTTCAAGTTGTTATAAAACAATAAAGATAACAAAAATAAATCAACATTTTAAAGTGGCGCCCGATGTCGAAGAATTCATAAGCTATTGCTTCAGTTAAATCACTTGAGTTAGTTAAAATTCCTCATCAGAACGGGACTTGAAATGGCAGATATGAAAACTTTCTGATACGATATTTTGTGAAAGGCTTTCCCGCCTCCACATTGCTAATTTAGAGGGCGTGGTTTTACCACTTTCTACTGTTGTTGTTCTTTTTTGGTGATATTCAAGACACGTGGAGATCGTCTCATGAAAAACATGGGTATTATCTGCACAGAAATGGAAAATATTTACCTCTTTCTTCCGTAAAAATCAAAACAATTTGAAACAAATGTAATTTAACGATTACGATTTAAGAATTATAACGGGCAGTTTCAATTTCCAATCTATCCTTGTGGAAAAACGATTACATTCAAATTTCGCCCTAGAGAAATTTTAATGTATTGCGTTAAAACTTATTAATTAATTTCTGTCAAACGAAAGAATCATAATTGGAAAAAACGTCCTTAGAGGAATGTTTCAACAAAATGCAAAGTTGGCAAGGTAGCAACTTTCTGATGAAGATTTGTAGTAAGAAAGCCATCATCAAAATGTTTTCTTTGAAATCATTCAGTGTCAGCAGATGTTTCATAGCTGTGTTAAAACAAAAAGAAAGAATTTTAAGCTTGTCACAAATGAAGCCTTGAAATACTGCTACCATGCGACGGGCAACCTGGAAACTTCTTCCATCTGTAAGCTTCGTGTGAACAATCTTTTTCTAACGAGATCACTAGAGGGATTCCTTCTCAATGTGCCTAAGCAGAATTTACAAGCTAATCCTGAAAATCCTGTTTTGTAAAGCCACTACCTTCGAATACAGAGCAAATGACAGACAGGTAAAAAATTTACGTAATGTTCTGTGCGATCCACAAACAACCTTTCACCAAGAACACGCAGACACCTCATTAGGGTAATTAATGAATACAACGGCAATGAAATGGAAACTGATAGGTCAGTCGCCTTTTTAACCGGGCTGAATTAAAAATTAATAAAAAGCAGTCCTGACGAGACACAAGGTGATAAACAACGACAAGTTATTAAGTTTTTCCTTCTTTCACCATCACGACGAACGAATTACCTGATCCGATCACGGTGAAATTGAATCAGCTGGAAGAGAGCCGAGGATCGAAAAATTCGCGAGCCACGACAAAAGTACTTTCTGTTTTCGTATTAAGACAAAAATTAGCCTTGTAGTTCTTGTGTTACGACTCTCGAGTTTTCTGAAAACTCAATGTCCCAAACTGCAATCAAACCTCAATAGGTGAAGGCGATAAAATAGGCGTAAATTGACCCGAAATATCGCACATTGTGCTTCAATTAGCGAAAGTTCCAAAATGCTTCTATTTTTACACGTTTTTACAAACAAACTATAAAATAAACTGTTAACAAAGATTCTTTACTGCGTCAGACATGGAGAGCTGTTTCCAAAATGGGGAACACGCAGTAACCAAAGAAAGCGTAATGCTTTAAAAAGCAACAAATCCTTTCATTAATTCAATTACTCATTTGCGTAAAAAGGAAGCTAGTGCTTTAATCCGAGTTAAAGTAATTCGCGGTTTCCGATATTGCGGATCAGGCAAAGACAACTATAACAACCAGGTGTAAAACAAATAAACGCCCCAAATGGGACGAAATTGTTCCTCATGGTCACGATCACGCCCTTGTCGTAAGGTGGACATCCTTTCATTAGCCAACAAAGAACCCCATACTTCTAACAAGTCAAGAGTATCCGATTGCCGAGCCATAGGTCTTAAGGTTATCTTGAATGGGATATCTATCCAATTTCCGCCCGGCGGAGATATAAACACGTCCAAGGAGCTGAACAGCGCACACGAATAAAGTTCCGCTGATAGAAAGGTTCGCTTCTTAGGCAGAGAACGTCGTTGACATCACTTCGACTATTGGTAAGTTTTCAGTAGTCACAAGTCGATGGTAAAAATTATTTCGCCTGGACCGGTGTAAACCAAAGGTAAAGGCGTGTTTACTCGATTATATAACTTAATAAAAAACTTCGTGTCAGACAGAACAGAACGTCAATTCTAAAAGTTGAGTATTACGTAGAGCTGACAACATTGTGGAAGTCTTCGAAAAGTGTTCCAGGGTTTTGAAACAACTAAAATGTCTACTTTGCCGATAGGAGCAGAGTTGTTTTCAGATCTAAAAATGAGACGTTTAATCCTTTTTCGTTAAAAATATGTGATCATGCTAGGTTATAATTAGACGAACAAAGACGCGACTATGTTAAAGAGGCCCTCGCTGTAATTCACCAAATCCGAGGTATTTTTAACATTTCTCACTCTAACAGCCCCTATCAGCCAAGCTTAAAGTAACTGATGTTAAATAGCGACATTCAGTGTACCACATCACTTGACTTGTAACTAGAAATCCAACAGGGAGAAATAATTCTTCCCACTGAGACTGTAAATAGCATAGGGGTCACTGTGGCACTGTTATAACAGCCTAAACGGGGGTAAACTGGACTGTCATAGTAAGTGAGGTACAAAGCAAAGTTGTCATCTCGTTATGGTATGTTTTTCAATGAAAATATTAACTTCCTGCCAGAATTCTATTATATTTGAAAATACGTTAACAACTTTATGTACATCGCATACCATAGCCTCAATCTTATATGCTGAAAAGGTGAAACAAATCTCTCCCTTATATGTTGTGAAAATCCACAACTGAGCATTCTTGAACGGATATTAAGTAATCTGCGACGGTCCGCTAATAGTGCTTTGAACTTTCCATTTTCGTCCAGCGTTTCTAAATTAATCACGCAGTTCTAAAATAAGGTAACACTTTCATATTTAGGGCTCTTGCCTCAAAACTGAAAAAATAGAAAAACAAAGGCAACAAAAAGTCACTAAAGGTCCTTGGTTTTTAAACTTTGGGCGATTCTTCATCCTTTTCGAGTTGGTTGCGGCTTTAGTTAGATACGATATCAAATTTTGGTTAAATAAAAATAACACAGCGTTCCCACAACCCTTGTCTCTATAGTCACTGCTGATACGTCCAAATGACAGTCCAACTGCAGTTAATATAGCATAAGGAAACGTAAATCAGATATACCAGTTAGAAGCTCGCTCTTCTGCAGTTATCGGTGACTACGTGGTCTCCTTGAAACCATATCTTTTTATCACTCACTTTAATGCTGTTTTCCCGATCCTCCGTCATCAAATTAATGAGGATGAAGATTAAAGTTCAGCCAGATTTAAAAAAAAAAACAATTTAAAAATGCACGGATAACGATTGTATATCACTTTTAAGTAAGATTGCACACCCGTGCTTAACTAGGAATATGATCTCTGCCCCTTTCAGCTAATAAAAAAGTCTCGTACATAATTTAGTTTTATTCTAATAGACATTTTGCAAAATGAATCACTCGTAAATCAAGTCCAACAAGATAGGTAACAACATGTACTCGAAAAGATAGATGATTTTGGATTTTACAACGCTAAATTCTTGGTTCATTTTTTACATATCTTTTCCGGCTTGGAATTTGTACCAAAAAAATGCCAAAAGGTATTGAATTTTGGCGCTTGAAGAGTACTGAATGACAATTTTTTTTCGACAAAATCGAATATCTGCGATGAATTCCCAAAGGGGCGAAACCATGAATTGAATTGCATATATATAATCTAGTGCGAAGGTCTACGCGTGTGGCATAAACATGCATTCAGAGTGCAAGAAATTCCGATGATATTTTTAGGTGATATGGGCTACAAAATAAACACTAAGAATATGCATGCCTGACCTTAACCTGTTAAACAAACACGCTCTCACGGAGCAATTTTCAACAAGTATCGACAATATACAGGAATGGCATCTGTTTTACTCCTCTGCGGTTTGCGCCACCATCTCAACCGATTACATGCCAAACTAAAACCCACTCCTGACTAAGTCACTCACGTTTAACAACATTGCTTTTGTTTTAAGACAAGATGGCCGTTGCAGGGATTGGCATGATGATCATCTCCATAGCAACCAAGATATATACCGACCCCCATGGCCAAGGACTCACCATCTACAGGCCTGACTGTCCTCCCGGGTATTGCATGCTTGGAGATTACGCGCAGGAAGGGGACATCAGCAAGCCCAATCCCAGTGTCATGGTGTGCATCAAAATAAAACACACAAAATTCTTCGCCAAAGCCAAGGACTTTGTCCAAGTATGGAGTAGCGAAGGACCTGGTAGTGGACGCGGATACAGTGGTGATAGCGACGATGAGGGGTCCAGCGATGGAAATAATGGCTCAGGTTCTGGTCACAATGGAGTGTTGGCATTTTGGAAACCAAAAGTTCCAAATCTGAACTATGTTGCGCTGGGTCATCTAGCGACAACGAGTTACGATCCACCCTCAGTCGGAAACGTGTGTATCGTACACAGGCTTATGGTCGATCAAGGAATTCCGGGTCGTCGCGTATGGAGAGAGGAGTCCGGTATGGCCAGCTTGTGGTCTTTGGCTCCCAGTTATTCATATATAAACTTGGGCCTGTTCTTAAGCAGCGACTCCAAATCTGCGCCTCACATCTCAGATTTCTGGTCCTTAATACCCGAGGTTATTCCAGCTCCTTTCAACGCTTCATTGTCAATTAAAAAGCTCAACAAAGACGAGCTCGCGCTCATTTACAGAGGTCAAGAGTGTGAGGAGTCCAAGCGACTCAGCGTGTATCTTCCCCAAGCTCCAATCGGGTATTCGCCTCTGGGACACTATGCAGAGCGCGGCTACGGTCGAGCAGGTCAGGGAGCGAAAGTGCTTGTTGTCAAAGAGAAAGGAAACAAAGGTCTCCTAATGCATCCGATCACTTACCAAGAACTCTGGAGGTCAGATGCCAAGAATAACAATACTGAGGCAGCAGTATGGCGACCAGTGCCACCTCCAGGATACTTCTGCCTCGGTCACGTTTTGGGCCTCGGCTTGGAGGCGCCGCCCACTAACGCCATTGTGTGCCTTCACTGGAGCGTTATTGCAAGGGGTTGGCCTGAGCGAAGTAAAAAGGTGTGGTGGAACACGTGTTCGCAAAAGAAGGAAGCAACTATCTGGCAAGTTCCTGGACTCGGCGACTGCCTCAGTGCTGACACGTTTGTGATTCATCGTGGCTTCAACAGTCCTCACTGGGAAGAACTCCTTTTCCACTGCTTCTATCTGAATAGAGTGTCGGTCAGATAGGAGAGAAACGTGCGCAAAAGAACCTGTCCAATTCTTTTCTGATTTAGTTCTATCGTTCCGCATAGTTTTCGTTCCCTCATTTCACATTTTCAGCCCCTAGTAAGATGGCTGTCAATCATATCTTACGGTTAACTAACTCTTTCAGGGAGCACGCAGGCAACATTACAGCATTTGTCACGCAAAAATAACGCATACTGGAAGAAAAACTGTGCAACGAATGAGAACAAATATCAGAAAGAAGAGCATTTCTAAGAATTTTTGATTTAACAGTTTTTATGACCTAGGAAAAATTCAGTGGCTCGTAGGAATTAAGTTAACCGTAAAGAATTCAAATTAGCTAAATATATTTTGCAGTCTTAATGACTTAGAGAGAAATTCATAGGCTCGTAGGAATTAACCTAACAGAGGAGAAATAAATTAAAAATAAAGATTCTGACTCGACGTATTCTCAAGATTATGTTCAAAGTTCGTAGAGTGCAAGAATTCCCCTCGCTCAACACTAGCTCCTGCTGTTCTCTAATCATAGGAGTTAATGAGTGAACATACAACTGGCATGGTTCCCTTGCGGTTCATAAACAAGAAATACGAAGCATCAAGTACATTCTCTGACTCCCTTGATTCCATAGGTAATTCTCTCATTTAATTGCTTACATTACCTTATAAATTACACAGGAGAATCTGGCGCTCTATCAACCTTAAACTGATAAGTTTGTCTGTTCTCATCGCCTGTTTGCGAATAATATATTGGAGAAGTTACGTGTGAGTCACTTCTGCGAGGTTAATGTTATTCCTTAAAGAGGTCTTACATAGAAAAGCCGGGACTGACCATAAATCTCATCATTGAATTGTAATTACTTCAACCTCGAAATTTCTCTTCCTATACCTTTCCTTATAAGTATCTGCAAAATTTTTAGAAGGAACAAATGACAGAAAAACACCGATCTTTTACGCGAGGTTCGTATTCACTCGAACTCTTGAAATTCCATGACTTGTCATGACTTTTTTAACGATTTTCTCCTTCGTTTTTCATGGCATAACA